TTTACATCTGGCTTCTTTCACTTAGCATGATTTTTCAAGGTTTGTACATGCTGTAGATGTATACATACTTCATTATTTTTAATTTGGTAAAATATATATAACATAAAATTTGCCATTTTAACCATCTTTAAGTGAATAGTTTTGTGGCATTACGCACATTCACATGTTGTGCAACCATCACCACTGTCTACCTCCAGAACTTTTGTATCTTCCCCAATTGAAATTCTGTACCCATTAAACACCAACTCCCCATGCCCCTCTCTTCCAAGTCCCTGACATCCACTTTCTCTCTTTATGAATTTTACTACTTTTAGAACCTCATAGAAGATTTTGTCTTTTGTGACTAGTTTATTTCACTTAGTACAATTAGACTCTGTCATTTTTATTTCAGTTCTGATATTTATTATTTCTTTTCTTCTACTCACTTTGAGCTTTGCTTGTTGTTATTTCTCTAGTTCTTTTAGGTGTAAAGCTAGATTTATTTGAAATAAATAAATTTGAAATTGTTTATTTGAAATTGTTTCTTGAAGGAGGCCTGCATTGCTATGAATTTCCCTCTTAGAATTGCTTTGGCTGTGTTCCATACATTTTGGGTCATTGTGTTTTTATTTGCATTTGCCTTTTAAAAAATTTTTTCTTTGATTTTGTTGTTTAGTAGCATGTCATTTAGTCTTATGTGTTTGTGTGTTTTGAGTTTTCTTCTTGTAATTGATTTCTAGTTTTATACCAGTGTGATTAGAGAAGATGTAGTCTTTTGAGTAAATGACATGGTGGCTCTGGAAGCAGATACAAAGGAATGACGCTCTGGAGAGGAGGTAGGGATGCTCTGCAAATGGCCAGTGGAAAGATGAGGGTGCCAGCTAAAGCTGGGATCTTTAATTCTATGGTTTAAAGATTCCACTGCTCATCCCTCTGTCTTCATAAATGGTAATTTCAATAGCTTGAAGTCCTCTCTCAATGGGATTTGTCAGGAGAAGCCCTTGGGGAGCATATGTCTTCTTATTCTGGTCTTGATTGTTTGCAGACTTTCTTCAGAACCTTCTCATGATGAGTTTTCATGCATAAGAAGATGTTGCATGCTGTTAAGCCAAACAGTTTTCAAGATATGATTGACCCTCAAGCTTCTTTTCTTCTGCATAAGGGTTATTTAAAGTTCAAACTGCTGCCTATCAATCTGGTTCTGCAGCTTGGCGGGGAACTTGGTCTGTGACTGGCAGCGTGTGCCACTGCTGTAGTCTCACTAAATGAATACTTTCCCTGAACACTGAACACTGGTGCCTCTGTGGCCTCATGGAGAGGACAAGACAGGCTGTGCCATCTCCTCTGCCCTCCAGCTGCTGCCTCCCCAAAGAATTCAAGGACCCTAGAGTAGTTTCATTCTGATACCTCCCTCTCAATTTATATGCTGTTATTTCCCTGTATTTAATTTATCAGGACCTTGAGAAGCACAGATTAGGTATTACTATTATCATTTTATAAGGCACGTTAAGATTTGCCTTTCTCTTTGTACTCATCTCTTTGCTCACCATTTTTTCTTGTACTTTAAACATTTCTTTTGGAATAATTTTCCCTCTTCCTAAAATATTTCTTTCAGGGGTTTTGTTTGTTTTGTTTTGTTTTAGTATTGATGGTAAACTGTAGTTTTTGTTCATCTGACAAGATCCTTATTTTGTCCTCATATATGGAAGTTTGCTTTGCTAAATACAGTATTCTACGTTAACAGTTATTTTTGCCCATCATTTAAAATAAATTATTTCACTTTCTAATGATTTTCATATTACTGTTGTCTAACTGTATATGACCCATCTTTTTCTCTCTGACTGCTTTTAAGATCTCCTTTTTTCCTTCAGTATTCTCTAGTTTTACTACATTTACATAGGTGTGGAAATCTTTTTATTTATCTTGTGTGTTAACCTTCCTGTATCTGTATATTTATGCTTGTCATGAATTCTACAAAAATTTTAGTCATTTTTCTTTAAATATTGCCTCTCCTCCATTTCTCTATTCTCTTATTTGAGCTCTTGATGAAATATGTTAGACCTTTTTATTCTACATAGCATATCTCTTAATCTTTCTTTTTCATCTCCTTGTTTGTGCCTTATTCTAAATAATTTCTTCAGATACATGTTCCAATTAAAAAACGCTCTTCATCTGTATTTAATGTGTTGTTCAGCTCTTTCATTACATTTTATTTCAATAAAAATATTTTTATTTATAAAAATTTGATTTTGTTCCTTGTCATATTTGATCACTTTTGCTGGTTTCTTGCTGCTTGTTAATTTTTGCAATTTTGTCTTTTATTTATCTAATATAATTCTTTTATATTTCATATTTATTTTGTATTTTATATCTGATAGTTTCAATATCTGAAGGCCTTGGAGGCCTAAATCTATTCTTTCTTAACCTGCTGACTCTCATTTATGAGGATTTGTTTCCATCTGTGTTTAATAACCTTTCAGTGTCAAATTATCTTTGGTTGGTGTTAAGCTCTAAAAATTTTAGGAGATGCTTTTCTCCAGAGAGGATTTGCATTCTTTTAAGAAGCCTGGGATACTACCCCCTGAGACCCTTTCTAGGATACCAACTTAATACAGGAGTCTCAGCTTCAGCTCCCCCACCTGTCACTCGCCCAAGCCGAGTTTCCATTACAGGGCTATATAAACATTTGTCCCTGGGTAATCCACATTTTATAAGGGCTAAGTAGTCTGGACTCATGTTATACTTCCAGGCTTTCATACATACTGCTCTTTCTGCCTGGAATATGTATTCTTTTATCATTTTTCTTTCTTCACCTGATTAAAGTTCAGGCCCATTCTCCTCCAGGATACACTAATCCAGTTTAGATAACACTCTGATTTGCTCTCAGAGCACCCTGTACCTACCTCTAACACTGCATTTTCCATACTGTATAGTAATAATCTGCTTACGCATCTGTCTTCCTCCATGAGACTTCTGGGTAGGAGTCATGGCTTAGTTACGCTGTTTTCCCAGTGTCCATCACAGGGCCTGGTCCACAGTAGATAACAAATCTTTTTTAATAAATGAAAGAATACCTGAATGGATGAACGGGTGAGTCAGTAATGATTGTGGAATGGACAATTTGGGGCTGGCAAAGAAGGTGAAGGATGGTGAAGGAAGATGAGAATAAAAGGGAAATAACTGGTGTTTCTACGTTGGTTTTGTTCTTGCTGAAGTGAAACAAAATTGTCATTTCATTTCATCAAAAGTTTATTGAGCATCCAGTTTGTGCTAGGCACTCTGCTAGATGCTAGTAATACAAAGATGAAGATCCAAACAAAATAAAACAGAAACAAAACCCACTTCCTCACTCCCTCCCCCCAATCACCATCCCAGGCAAATTTGGCTTGAGCCAGGGAAGCTGGGCCTGGGCCCTCAGGGATTCAGCAATAGGGTGTGGAGTTCAGCAGGCTGTCATCTCGTCCCACCCTAACCTCCACCCTTGCCTCTCAAGCATTGACCCCTTCTCCGCCTCCTGCATCTCACACCTGCCTGAGCAACTTACCCTGCGTGTGTTATCTCCGGATGAGGTACCTGGGAAGGTTAGGGGAGCAGTTCTGGATAACTAAGGGGAGCTGCAAAAGCACACCTGCTTAAGAGAGCTGGGAGAAATGCACAGGCACAGGCTGCTGGGCGAGAAACCCTGGCAGGTAGAGGTGGAGGGGCCAAATAGAGATGTTGTTACCCTTGGGGCTGGGACAAAACTTGCTCCAGTGTGAAGGGTGGGGACAGGGACCTTGGAAATTGCTCTGGGGGATAGTAGAGTCAGAGCTGGAGCATAAGGAGGTGAGGGATGGAAGGACCCTTAGCGACATCAGAGAACGGAGGTCAGAAAACACAGAAGGCCTCCTTTTCAGCTTTTTAATTGCCCTCTCTCTTCACTCAGGAGATTATTGTCTCTCCTGCATACACACTGTTCCATAGGCAGGAGCATGGGCCTGGCCTGGCTACACAGTGGCCCTACCTCTCTGTATTGTGATGTTTGTGTGATTAGAGAGTCTGCCCTTCTCATGTCTCTTAAGATCTGAGTATCTGGGAGCAGTGCAGGTAGAAGGCGGGACACCAAGGGTTGGATCATGTCTCCCTGACAAGCGGAGGAGCAATGAGCCTCCTCCTTTCACACCATTTCTCTGGAAAGTCAAATCTTATTCTCTCTCAGCTGGAGGGAGCCCAACAGCCTTTCTGGGGATAATGATTGTTTGAAAGGCTTGTTTTCACTTGGTCTAGTTTTCTGGGCTAGGGGAGTGAGAATCTCCTTCTCTCTAGGAATAGAGACAGAAGGAACACTTAGCAGGCCACCGAGGGAGGAGGCTTTGGCAGAAGGCCAAGCACTTTTGTGAGAAGGCCAAGCAGAGGGCTCCAATCCTTGGTTCTCTAGATGGCCCAGGTCAGGGGACAAAGAAATGGGCTCGAGCTCCTCCCATGCCAACTGGTAGATGCCCAGGTACCAGGTGCCCAGAGAAGGGTGGTACAAGACACTGCTTTTACAATGATTTCAGGATGCCCGGAACACGCCGCGTACACACAGCAACCGGCATCCGACTTCCCCTTAGTTTAGACAGTCGTGAGTTTGGGGCAAAAGCCCACTCTAATCTGGGCTTGCTGAAAAAGTGCCAGCAACCAGGCGCCCCTTCAGAGGGAAGGGAGGTGGGTGGGAAGCCGAGAGCTCCCTAGGAAGCGCAAGGGATAGTCAAGGGAGTTCGGTTACTGATGTTAGTTTCCATAAGACCCTTGGGGACTGGGCCGGAAATGTAATAATCTATATGGTCCTAAGGGGGCACAACCCATATCCACCGAGAACACTGCCAGTGAACTAGAAGCAAAAGCGACCGGGTTTCACCCCAAATCACTCTCCGGCGCCCCGCTGCGTCCTCCATCTGCACACGCTCATCCGCGTCCTCAGGCGAGACCCGTGCGCCCCGTGCGCCCCTGAAGAGACCTCCCCTCGCCCGGCTCTCTGGCTTCTCGGGCCTCCCCATCTCCCCGACAGCAGCCGCGCGGGCGCCCCCAGGGGAGGGCGGGTCCCGGGGCGGCTCAGGCACTGATCCCCACCGGGCCGGCCTCCTCCTGCTCGCGGATCAGGCGCGCGCCCGCAGTCCGAAGTGCGCGCGAGCGACCGGGCGAGCCGGGGGCCCGGGTCGGCGACGAGTGCGTCCGACCGGGGGCGGGGGACGGCGCGGGCGAGCGCGGGTACCGGCGGGCAGAGCGCACGGGCAGCCCGGGCGAGCGGCCGGGAACTGCCGGCGACACGGAGTAGCCGGGCGGGCCGGGCTCCGTCGCGCTCCGGAGCTCCGGGGCGGGCTCCTCCTCGGGTTCCGGGGCGTCCTGCAAGGACACGCGCCAGGGTCAGCGGCCAGCGGCCGGGTGTAGGGGCTGCCTGGTGTTCGAGGGGCACTGGGAAAACCGAAGGAGGGAGAGTTCCCTCCACACTTCCGCCTTTTGGAAGGTGGCAGAGATCTGTTTTGTTTCTTTTCCCAACATAGGACACTGGCATGGTGCCTGGCAGATACTAGGTGCTCTGTCAATATTGAAATGCATTAATTGGAGTGTTTTGTCTCCGTACTGCCCTCTTTCCACCTGTCTCGGACAGCCTGGGACAGTTAGTTATGGAGTAGAGCGGAAATCACCAGCATTGGTGTCCAAAGACTGGGCTAAAAACCTAGACCTGCACTTATTTATTTCCTTGATTGATCTTGGGCAAGTCAGTTCACCTTCGTTGGACATATTTTTCTAATCTATAAAGTGGGGATGACACAAATATCTCTCAGGTTATTCTGAGTCCTATAAAGGGACGTAAATACCTAGCACCAGGACGTGGCAGGGGCTCATTGGTGTTTGTGAGGCACCCGCAGAGCTGCTCACCTTGTCCTTCAGCACATAGAGTGCCATGGGGTTCTTCCGCTCCGGCTCTCCACTTCGGGGGAGGGTATCTGCTGCACAGGGCAAAGAATGGGGTGGCTGGCCCAGATACAGAACCCTTCCCACCACCCCGCGCTTATATTCTGCTCCCCAAGTGGCCACTCATGACCCCACCACAGCCTCCACCAAAGGATCAGCAACACATGGGTCCTACCTTGGCCGCACCTCTCCCTGCTCTGCAGTCTTCGTGCAGCTGGTGGAGGCAGGGGCCCTGCAGAGCTGGCTTCCTTGTGGCCCAGTTCTGCCTTTTCCCAGCAGCCCACTGATCTGAGTGAGGACGGGTTGGGTGAGTGGGCCGCTGGGAGCTCACCTTCAGGTTTCAGGCTGTCGTCATTCTGATCCATATATTCCAGGGAGTTTTGCTTCTCTAGTTTCCTCTTCTTTCTGCAAATCAACCCAGCACCCCATGAACAGAGTGGGAGCAGAAAGAGATCAGGGGCTGGGGACAAGGGTGATTTGATGGCTGTAAAAGAGGTCTTATAATAGGAGGATGGGCTGGAATGGGTCAAATCTAAGTTTGCATCCTGAGTGTCACTAGCATTGTGATTGTGGGCAAGTAATTTAACCAATTTGAGTCTCAGTGTCCTTATCTGTAAACTGCAGGTAATCATACTTAACAGGTAGCACACTAACCGCAACCACAGTGCCCAGCCCACAAAAGGTGCCCTGCAGTGAAACTATTATTAACAGTGCCCAGTCACCGGGGGTTATGAGCACAGGAGGTGGCTCCATACATAGTACACACAGTGGTGACATGGGTCTCCTTGGAAGGAGTACAGGGCCCTGGGAAGAAAGGCATTTAAAGAGACTTAGAAGAGAGCTTGGGGTTGTGGACTGAAGGATTAGGGTGCTCGGAGTGTGGAACTTGAGGAGTTACCCAGACTTTTTGGAGGGTTTCCAGCAGGCACAGACTGTCACCAAGGTCACAAGGAGGAAGATGCCTCCTGTGGACAAGATGATGTAGAGAGAGCTTCTTCCTAGGGAGAGAGAAAGGCAGAGAAGCGAGAGAGACTCCAGGTGTGGTGAGAGCTGCCCGCAGTGGGTGGAAGACAAAAGGAGCCCCCGGCAGTATGGCTGGCTCGTGGCAGAGCTTGCCCAGAGCCCACTTCCTGCCTGCTGCTGCTCTCCATGGAGAGTTGGCCCGTCTCTGCCCCCCTCTCCCTTTGTCTGGGATATCTGTAGCCACTCATGGGCACCTGCGTGTCAGGGTTTTGAGTCCTAAAGGGAGGGCAAGCAGGGAAACTCACTGTACACGGTGATTTTGATGGGCAGACTGCGGCCCTGGCTGATGGGGTTCTCCACCACACAGCTGTACAGGTCGTCGTCCTCCATGAGCACGCGGGTGATGGTGAGCACCTTTTGGTTGGGGGACAGGAGCATTCTCGAGTCATTGAGGAGGGGCTTGCCATCCTTCAGCCAGGTGTAGCTGGGCTTGGTGCCATTCTCATGAGAGCAGTTCAGGGTGAAGGCTTCACTAAGCTCCAGCACTGTGGTCGAAGCCACTAGCACCTGTGGCCTTGAAATGGGCACTGAGCCCGGGAGGGGAGGCTGTGAGCTTATGGGCCAAAAAGCTTCTCCCTTCCCCTTCTTAATTCTCTACCTTCAACACAGCACAACTCAGTGTGCCGTTCGAGAGGCCCTTCAGAGATCATTAGTCAAGTTCTTTACCACCATCCATCCACACATTCATCCATCCATTCATTCACTCATTTATTTATCAGCTGTTTATTAGTATCTACCCAATAAGCAAGGGAGGTACAATGCTGAACAAGACAGCCATGGTCCCTGCCCTCATGGACCTTCCCTTCCCTTTTTCTCAAATACCTTTCTAAGATGTCTTAAACTGACCCAGTGTGGAACAACTAAGACTAAGTCCAACTGTCTGGGTTTAAATATTGGCTCTATCACTTCCTAGTTGCATAATTTGGGCAAGTTGCTCAACCTCTTTGTGCCTCAGTTTTTTCTTCTGCAAATGGGGATGATATTAATTATCCCTAGGTTATTGTAAGCATTAAATGAGTCAATATGTGCAAAGCACTTAAACAGTTTCTGGCCTATAGTAGGCACTCCTGATGTGCTTACTGCAGCCTGCCTGCTAACCGCTGATGTCCAATTGGCTTACTCTCAACTCCCAAGTGGCTTTTGTGTTGGTTTTTTCAGGGTCGAACAGACCCTGCCCCAGTCTCAGCTCCAGTCCCACCTCCTCCCCTGCCAGAGTGCTTTACCATCTACGGTGAGGTTGATGGTCTTCTCCCCGGTGAAGGTGTCATCGGTGATGGAGATCTCGACCTCATAGGTGCCCTCATCGGTGAGCTGTAGGTCGCTGAGAAGCAGGGAGCCATTTTCAAAGAGACGGATGCGGTCTCGATAGTCAGGCCGCAGGGTGCCAATGACCTCGGTGCCAATGGACTGCACCACAGTCACTGGCTTGTCCCGCTTCAGCTGCCACTTCACCACGGGCTTGTCGCTGCTGGTGCTGCTGTACTGCACGGAGAGCAGTGCTGACTTCCCCACCGTGCCGTGGATCAGGCGCACCTGGCTGGTGATGTTCACCCCCTGCAGGGGCTCTATGAACAGAGGCCCACAGGGAGAGGGCATCAGGCCCTGGGCTCCTCACCTCACTCCCAACTTTAAGTCCTCTGATCTCGTCATGCCTCCCCATTCTGGGCCCTTCAGGCCTGTCATTCCTTCCTTCTTACTCTCTAGTGCCACCTTTCCCCCTGTAGCTCTGGGCCCTCTGCCCTCCATCATCCCTCACACCCATCCCACGGCCCTTAACCCTTCTTCTTCTTCTTTTTTTTTTTTATCCTCACCCGAGGATATTTTTCCATTTTTTGTACAGATAGAGTGGGAGGGAGAGAGAGGAAGGGAGAGAGAGAGAGAAACATCGACGTGAAGGGACACATCAAGTGGCTGCCACCCGCTCGACCAACCAGGGCCTGGGGACAAACTGCAACCGAAGTACGTGCCCTTAGCGGGAACCGAACCCGGGTCTCTCCGGACCGCAGGCCGACGCTCTAACCGCTGAGCCAAACTGGCCAGGGCCCTTAACCCTTCTTCTATCTGGCCCTCAGCCTCTGGTAGTTTTCCTCATTGCCTTCCTCTCGAGGAAGATTCCAGCTCACCCACGCCTGGTGTGCTCCATTTATAGAAATAGTTATTGAGCACTTACCATGTGCCAGGCAGTGTACTGTATCCTTGGGATATATCATTGAGCAAAACAGACAAACATCTTTTATCTCCTGTGGCTTATAAGTCATTAGACCTTAGAGTGAATTTGTCAGGTTTTCTTCTGGATTGAAAATTGGGAGAATGAGGTGGGGCTGGGTGATGGAGAAAGCATGGGGACCTAGATTCACAAAGAAAGGAGTATGTCACATGACAGTGCCACTAAAGGGGAAGTTTAGGAGCCTGAAGACAACTGGGCCACCCTCCAGTTAGACCAGGAGCCTCTCCTATCCTTGGCCCAGCCGCATGTAGCATCTTACTAGGCCTGCCCAGGGCAGAACAGCCCTGCGACTTGGTAGATGGTTTTGGAAATTTACCCAAACTCCAGTCCAATTTGTTTCCCCTTTAGAAGAGGGATTTAGGATGAATAAAACAAAATGTTTGGGATCAGAAGGCCTTGTAAGATTGGGCTCCACCAACTAACTGGCTGTGTGGATTTGAGCAAGTCATCTTCTTAAGCCTTGTTTTTCTCATTTAGAAAATAAGGATAATAACGACAAGAGCAACTGCTGTATCAAGTTCACAGAGGAAAAGCACAATATGTGGGTCAGTTATTGTTGTGTAGTGGAGAGAACAGGAGATTGCACGTCAGAGAGTTGGGCCCCATTGTTGACCTAGGAGAAGTAATTTATGTGTTCAGGGTTTGGATTTTTCCATAGGTCAAATGAGTGGTAATCTAGATGGTTTCATTGGATTTTGCCATCTTGTCCAATGGCTGCCCGATCCAGAGACACATCTCATATTTCAGGGGTCTCTTAGGCACGTTGGGGCCTGAACAGATGCTGTTCGTTGGTGTCACCTGGCCCTGTGGAGCAGTGTCCCACATGAAGAAGAGTCTTCTGAAGAGGACGTCAGTTGGGAATAAGGCTGAATTTAGCTGAATAGACACATATATGTCAGGTTCTCAGTCCTGCTGCTTCTTATGATTGTCATCACCTCTGAAGTTCCCTCTTTCTTTCTCACCCCTATTTCCCACTTTGCTACTGTTGCTGTTTAGATTCGGGGAAGCTGACCTGTATCTTTCCATTCCTTATTTTTCTTCTTGTGCCTAGAAAACCCAGACGAAACCAGGAGGCGGTTAAACTGTTGTGGAGATCGAAGCAAATTTAATTATTCAATTAATAAATGTATCCAATCCATTTTTTTGAACAAGTGCTTTGTTAGGTAGTAAGCTCATCATTTTTTTGGAAGTGGTCAAGAAAAGGCCAGTTGACTAGTCTTTCATGTCTTTGTGCCTCGGTTTCCTCTTCTGTACACTCTCTCCTACCCCATAGGAGGTCCTAGTGGTCCTTTTGTGATGTCTTTTCTCCCTCAAGTCTGCCCTTTCTGCCAATATAAACCTGATTCTTCAGGATAAAAACACTGGAGAAGCTAAAGCACAGGGAGTGCCCTAGGCCTTACCCTCCTCTAGATGGGAGCCTTCCTCCTGCCATGACTCGCAGGGGGATGGATGGGTGTTCAGAAGTGAATGGAGTGGTCTATCTCAGAAGCTGACAAAGAGCATTTTGTCGAGCAAACACTGTTTCCCAAATCTCTTGCCAAAACTGGAGTCTGTATTAAGTTCAGGGTTCCACAACTTTCAAGGGACACAGAGACCTGGGACAGATGCCAAAGCAGGACACAGAAATGAGGAAGTGGCTAACAATTGTGATCCACAGTAGAAATAAAAGGGACTGGGACTATTCAACCTTGAGAAGTGATTAACTTAATTATTGTCCTCTAGTCTCTGAGACATCATTATGTAGAAGGTTTCTGTTCCCACCAGAGGCTGAACAAAATCGACACTGTAGCAAGATTTACCGATCAACTTAAACAGTGCCATACTGGACCAGGTAGGTGACCTTCATCAGGTAGGATGTTGACCTGCTGTGACACCAAACAATGTCAAGCTTCAAAGTATAAGAATGTACCTGTCAGCAGCCTTGAGTTCCCTTAGTAGCCTCTTCCTTTAAAGATACCATCATCCACTCATTTTTATATGCTCGTTTTGCTCGGCAGAGGTTTCCATTTACTAGTATTTGTCTTAAATTTACTGTTTAACAATGTCAGTAAGATGGTGCCAAATGTGCATTGTAGGATTTGGTCTACATACACCTAACCCATAATTGCTAACACCATAGACTGCAGTTATGTCCCTTTTCTATGTGAAGGATTTTTTGTTTTGTTGGGATCTTTCTCCACAAGGAAGCCCTTCATCCCTTGGGCCATCATAGATACCCTTCTGTGGGCTTTCTCCACCTCTGTTATTTCTTTTTTGAGGTGTAGTGACCAGAACTGCATACAACAATCCAAGGGCAGTATACCGCATGGTTTTCTAAAAGAAAAAAATTGCTTTCTGATTTTGGTTTTTAATATCCTTCCTAATGAGTGATGCTCTGACAAAACAGCACACTCCTCAGCCCCTGCTGCATAGGGTCATCACTGAGTGTGAACATATTGGGGTTATTGTATTGTATTTTTATGTTATTATCCTGTTGAGACCTAAGAGGGCCTACAAGAGTGTGAAATTATTTTAAATGTCAATCACTCAGGAATGTAGGAGAAAACTAAGGAACAGAAATTATGAAGAGCACCTTTGGGATTCAGGATGGAAGGGATTCTTGGTAGCTTTTTATGTACACCCTGAAGAGTATAGAGGTTCAGTAATGTGCACCCAGCTAATAGCATTACGGTGGCATACAGAGAATTCCACATTTGGATTGGAACAATCACCGTTGTTAAGCTGTCAGTTATCTTAAATGACTTATAAATTTGATACAATACCAAACAAAATTCCAGGATGTTTACTGTGAGATATTGGCACAGATGGACAAATAGATCAATGGAACAGAATAGAGAGTCCAAAAACAGACTTGTATATAATTGCTTGACTTATGACAAAGGTGGCATTGTGTAGTAGGGAAAGAATTTTTTTCTAGTAAATAGTGCTGGGTCATGTAGAGGAAAACGAATCTTGACCCTTACATCACACCTTACACAAATGCCAATTCTAGATGGATTGTAGATCTAACTTTGAAAGGTAAAACAATAATGTTTTAAAAAGAAAACACAGGGGAACTATCTCCACGGCTTGAGGACAGACACGGATTTCTCAGAACACACCATAAAGGAAGAAAATGGACACAATACAATTAGGAGCTTCTGTTCATCAAAGAACACCATTAGGACAGTGAAAAGACTATAAAGGACTCATATCTAAACTATGTTTTCTAAACTCCTACAAATCAATAATTTTTAAAAACCCAGAAAACCCAACAGAAAATGGGCAAAAGACTTGGAATCGGTACTTCACAAAAAAGATATCCAAATGGCTAATAAAGATACTACTTCACTAATAACCATGGAAATGCCATTTTAAACCATAATTTGATACTGTCTCAAACTCACTAGAATGGTTAAAATGAAAAGAAAGAATTGTTGGTGAAGGTGTGGGTCACTAGGAACTCTCACACAATGCTGGTGGGAATGGAGATTGATACAACCACTTTTGAAAACAGTTTGGCCCTATCTACCATAGCTTAACATATGCATACAACTCAGCAATTCTACCTCTAGGTATATCTCCCAAAGAAATTTCTATCTCACACTAGAATGTTTTAACAACTCTATTCATGAAGCCCAGAACAGGAAACAACATGGATGAATCTCGCAAACTTGGTTCAGTGAAAGATACCGGACAGAAAAGGATGCATACATATGATTCCATTTATAGAAAGTTCAAAGACATGCAAAATTAATCTGTATTGGAAGTTAGGATACCACTGGAACCCTGGGGAGAGGGCAATGTAACTGAAATTGTACGGGGGTTATTCTGAGGTGTTGGAGTGTTCTATTACTTGATCTTGGGCACTGATTTCATAAGTTTGTTCACTGTTTAAAGACTCATCAAGCTGTATCTTTATGCTAAATGCATTTTCCTGTATGTAATTTTTAGTTGTGGGGGAAAAAAAAAAAAAAGACAGCACCTACAATGTGAAGGTGATCTTAGGGCTGAAAGGATGGAACCCAGGCAAGGGACTTCTTCTTATTGGATCCTTAGAGGATGGAATAATTATAAGATGCCAGAGAGTAAAATCTTGCAAGTCAGATTATCTAGCTTTCTGGCACGCGGTGTTCATGTCTGTAAAATAGTGCCCTGGCCTCTAGAAAAGCCTTATTTGCATGGTCCATTAGTTGGGCTGTGATGAGTTGAGGAAAGCTTTATTAGTCCACATTAGGGACAGAGCATTAAAGACTGAGTGGTACTTGTCTGAGGCTGGCTTGGTGGTTGCTGCCATAAGCACAAGGAATTAAGGTAAATCTTTGGGAGCTTGGGTGACATGGTCCCCCCCCGCCCCCCCGTCCCCTTTAGTGCCAATTTTAAAAACTGTATTTCCCAGCCTCCCTTGCAGTTAGGTATGGCCAGGTGACTGAATTCTAGCCAATGAACCAGTGGAAGTGATAGGTACCACTTATAGGCTGGTTTAGGATCCCCCACCCCCATTTTTAAAATTCTCTACATGAAAGAAATAGAGATAAACCTCAGGGTGACCTTTGGAAACACATGTCAAAGTTGATAGAGCTCCATCATCCTGGTCCCTGAAAAACTTCATGGAGCAGAATTCTTCCTCATCCCAGGCCTAGCCTGGAACTTCATTGTACTACTACATGGTTAACACCAAGAACTTAAATTTTGGAATTTATTTGTCACAGAAGTTGGCATTATTCTAACTGATATATTAAAGATGGCAGACATTTCTTATAGAACGTCAGCTCTTTATTGTTCTTAGTCCACAGCAGTACAATGGCCTGACCCTGCACTTATTTCTTACCTGTCATAGGTCATTATTAAGATCTTATTAGCATAGTTTATATTTATATATTTTTTGCTATATTTATTAAGTTACATTCTCCCACTCTGTAGACCCTTTGCCCCATCACACTGATAACTATAGAAAATTATCTTTCTATAACTTTTTCCTTATCATTTGATGACCTGAAAGAGTTAGGGGCATCTCTGATTTGCATATTTCATGTGTTCTTCCTATTCCCAATTCTGCAAACCTGTATCTCTCATTATTTCCTCAAGTCATTGCAATTTCCACTGAGACTGTTCTCAGTAAGGCTAAGAGTAACCTCATAAATGTTACATCTAACGGGCTCTTTTACATCCTTATTATATCAGACCTCTTTGACATATTTGACGCTGATTCTCCAGAAAACTCTCGACTCCCTTGACTGGCTGCACACACACAGTCTTATAGTTCTCCCTCTGTCCCTGTGACTGTTCCTTCTTGGTCTTCTCAATGGGATTTTTTTTCTCTAAAAATCTTGGAGTTACTCAATGTTCCATTTTTCAGCCCATTTTATCATCTAGGTGTTATTATCCACTTTCATTGTTTTAAATCTTACCTATGGGCTGACAGCTTCATACCTCCCATCATCCCTGACCTCCCTGTCCCCCAGCTGCAGGTTATTCAACAATTTCCCACAGATGTGTCATAGGCATTTCAACCTTCACATGGACAATAGTAATTATCATATCCCCAACTTTATCCCATTTTTTGTTTAAGGTTTCACACAGAATCCTTACCTCCCTCTCTGGATCCTCCCACTTCTTATCAATCACTAGGTCTTGACTTTCCCTCCAAAATATTATTTCAACATGCCTCATTCCTCTATTTTTATTCTATTCCAGTCCATGTTATTTCTCTCCTGAACTATCGCAATAGCCTTTTTGTAGGTTGAATTTTGTCCCCTAAAATTCCTATGTTGGAGTCCAAACTCCCAGTACTTCAGAATGTGACCTTATTTGGCAATGGTGTCATTGCAGAGGTAATAAGCTGAGTTCACAGTAGAGGAAAGTGGGCCCCTAATCCAATACAACTGACATCCTTATAAAAAGGGGAAATTTGGGCAGAGACACAAGCACAGGGTGGACATCAGGTAAAGACTGCACAAGGCAAGGAACTACTAGAAGCAGAGAGCCTAGAGCAGGCTCTTTCTTAGCACCTTCAGCTAGGCCCGACCGACACCTTGATCTCACACTATCAGCCTCCAGAGCTGTGAGACAATGTATTTCTGTGTCTAGAACACCTAGTTTATGGATCTTTGTTATAGCAGCCCTAGGAAATAAACACAGGTTTTCTTTTTCATAGTGTTTGCGTCTAGTTTCCCCTCCAAAGCCTTACTGCAGTGAGCTATCCCTGCCAGTCGCTAGATTAAAACCTTCAATGCCCTCCTCACCCCATTGTTTACACACTATATTCTAGTTTACTTAGCGTGGTTTACAAGGCTCTTGCCTAACTTAATTCACACTTTCCCCTCCAGCAATGGAGAAGAGCTGAGCTAAACACAGGATGACATTTCAAGCTGTTGACCTTTGCCCATTTTTCCAACTAGAATGCCCACTCCCACACTTACCTATTTTTCTGATCCTTTAAAATTTAGTGCAGACATTCCCAAGTGACCTCCCCTAATATCCCCCAACCCCACCCTCCACATCAGCACCCATTTCCTGATGGGGTAAGTGGCTTCTCACTGATCCTGGGCATCCTCTACGTATCTGACTCATAAGACTTTCTGTGTGTTATTAAAATGATCTCTGCATCTGTTTGCCCAAGTAAATTGTGAATTCCTAGGCTCTCTGGAACTGTGTGTGTGTGTACATAAACAAATAAACTTAAAATAAGATCAATTCTCCAAATAGCTGGTAGGGAGTGGTAGAGGAGGCGGGTGTCTATGGTGTAGGGTAAGTTATGGGTAGATTGGTGTTACTCTCCAAAATCAGGAGGCCCATTATCTCCAAAGCGTCTTACATCTCTTGCTGTTTTATACTCAGAGGATCCAGGGCAGGTGGTGGTGGGGTGGCTGGGGAAGCACAAAATCAAGATGCCCCCACCCCTCCAAGCCCCACCATAATCCTTGCAAAGAACGCTGAACTAGCCTGTACCAACAAGACATCCTGTAAGAAATAAGAAATGGCTCATTGCCCTTCATCTAATGTCCTGAATGCTGTGGGAGCTCCAAAGTCATGTAGCCTTTTGGGGGAGGGGGCAGGGACTGGGCTGCAGGAAACAGAATGAAGAAATACATTCAACACTAATGCCTGAATTCACCCAGAGGCTTCCCACGGCAGCTGAGCTCTCTCCCCTCCTCCCACCCTGAAGGCATTCTGGCCTTCCACTCTCCCCTCCCTTACTTTGAAAGCCCCGGTCCCTTCTCCAACCCCTTTCTTATCTTCCTGGTCTCCTACCTGTCTGGATCAGAAGAAGGTAGACAAAAGGAGTGAGGCGCAGGACACTGAAGGCTCTGGACAGGGCTCCCCTTTCTCTCTTCATTTTGGGTGGCGTTCTCCAGCTCTGGTGCAGACAATTAGCATGATTTCTTCACTCTGGGCACGTCCCTTTGTACCACTCGGAGTTTCTCTGCTTGAGCACAACCCTGCCAACTTCCCTCTGAATACACAGAGCTCTGTGTGTTGCTGGACTTGTTCTTTCTTCTCTTTCAGACCTGGCATTTTCTAGTTTCAAAGTGCTACATCCCCAGTTCAGAAGAGGGTATTTGCTTAGGAGATAATCTCCAGTGGGAGTGTCAACCTGGTGGGTCCCAGGGGTCCATCAGTTCTGTCTGTGCTGAGCCCCACTACCAGGGGGAGATGAGGCTTTGGGCTCAATAGGGACTGGGCTGAGATGTGTCCCAATCTATCTTGTCTCCACCTCATGCTCCTTGTTCCTGAGAAGGAGGGTGTATGCCAGGGATAGACCTCCAATACGTTTTGAGGAGGGAGGGATAGAAGCTTTTAATAGGCTGGGGAATGAGAAAGTCCAGAAAACTACAGAGGAAATGAAAAACCCCTGTTCCACCCCAAAGAAAGAAGCTTGAAACATGGCTTCCAGCTAATTTTCTATAACATGTCAGAGCAAGGGTAAAGGTACCCTAATAGCCAGCATCCTGGGGCTCTGTCACCAGCTTCTCAGCCTAGTCACCTCTTCTTGTGTCCAGGCTGTGATGAGGAGAGTCACCCTAGCTCTGCCCTGCCCCCTCATTACTATGGCTACCATTCTCATGAGGGCTGCCAGTAGAATGTACGCTTACTAACTGCAGTCTCAGGATGGGCTGATGACCTCGTTAATCCTCAATTTCACATCTGTGAAATGGGGAAACAGAAGCTGCCTTGCAGGAATCATTGGGAGGATTGATGATTTGGTGCAGTAGAGTGCCTAGGATATTCTTTGTTACAAATACATTTTGTATGGCTCAGTGTTGAGCATCGGCCCATGCACCAAGGGGTTGCCAGTTCAGTTCCTGATCAGGACACATGCCCAGCCTGTGGGCCCAATCCCCAGTGGGGGGTGTGCAGGAGGCGGCCAATCGATGTTCTCCTTCATCGATGTTTCTATCTCTTTCTCCCTCTCCCTTTCTCTCTCTCTAAAATCAATAAAGAAAAAAATTATTAAAAAAAAAAACCCTAAAAACAAAGACCTTCTTCTCCCCCCTCCTCCTTTTTCTTCTTCTTTTTTCATTCCTATAGGGAATCTTTAAATCATGAAGGGACCAAAGTTTACAGCCCTGTCCTGGTTACCTCTAACCCTGGTCTTAGTTTTGCAATAGTTACCTCTCAAAATATTCTTTTTACATCCTGGGGAGAGCTCGAGTAGGCTGGCTTCCTAGAACTAAAGACCCACTGTGTAGTCCAAGGAGCCAAAGGAGAGGGAGAAGAGTGGGGAAGCATTGGGTTTGGACTTCACAGAGGAACTCCAAAAAACACTCTGATTTGCATAAATAAGATTTTCTTCCTTTTGTATTTCTGTGTCTTTAACTTTTCCCTGGACAGCTCAAGGCACCTGTCTGCCTTGGAAGAGTTCGTATTGTTTCAGCAGGTATACAATGGAGAAGAGAAAGTCAGCATTCAGTTTCTGACATAGTATTTTAGAGTGAGTAGCAAGACAGAGGACCTGAAAGCCAAACTCTGTAAGGGACAAAAGATATTTTCATTTCCTTTTTCTACACCTTTGAAGTATCACAGAACAACAGCCTGTGGACTGGATAACAAAGTTCTTCTACAGGAATATAACAAATGACCTCTTTTGCCCGTGAGGGCCATGCCTTGAGACTTATTGTCTGAGGGCACAAGGAGGATATGATGTTCAGGAAATAGCCTGAAGTCTCCCCTTTTTAATCTGAAGACTGTGGGGGAAAAAATGTGATACAGGAAGACAGAAGAGGGATGTAAATTCTCAACATCTCCCATTTCCCTGCCCCAGAAATGAACTTTAGGCTCCTTATACTCATGCAGAATATGCAAGCATCTGAAAATGCCACAAGCTCCCTTAAGGGGACCCAGACAATGACAGCCACCAGCTGTCCTGGTGCAACCTAGACTCACGCAGAGCCCAGTGGGAATCCTGAGAAGGCCACATAGGTCCACGTGCATTGTCTCCTTCTGTTGCTACAAGGTCATCGAAGCCACATCACCTATACTCACCTCCATCTCTCTTAGAGAGGATGTTAAAGTGGTTGATCAAACTGAGCTTTGCAGGATGTATTAACACTTCATTTCCTCTGCTGCCCTGGGGGTGGGAAGCTCACGGGAAGATCAGAGCAGCTGCAAAGGCTCAAAGGTACCACAGTTTCTTTGCACACTGGAGTGTAGAAGGAATAATTTTGCAATCCTGTTTCAGGTCTTTCTAAGATGAGTAGACCAATAGACGTTTATGTGCCTTTCTCTCCTAAAGAGCAGAGAGCTCTCTGATTGAAAGATGGTGTCTTACTGATCTCTGTAGCCCCACTGCCTCATTCAGGGCAGGAAACATAGTAGATGTTCAACAGATAGTTACTGACTATTGAATGGATGTGAACTTAGAGAGTTTCTCAAGAATAAAGAACATGAACAGATGTCTTTTATGGATATACATGGGTAGAATAAAGAACAACTATGAGCAGGAGCTGGGACAGAGGAGTGAGTACAGGGAGGGCCTCAAATAATGACTGTCAGTGACAGACTAGTTTGTGAACACACATGAGAGATCCCTTTGCGAATTCCCAGAAATAACGGACTCATTTTGAGGAGGCCACTCATCCCATAAGCTGTAGGCAATTGGGTTACAGAGATGTAAGGTAACAGCGAAGCCAACTTGTTCTCACACATAACATGTGACAGCTGTTCTAGCTTGTCTCATTTGACCCTTCCATGTGTTCTTTGGTTTTATTCCTGTGGGTATGTCTGTCCCATATAGTTGCTGATGCTATGGGCTGTGTGGTTTTTGTTTTGCTTTTTTGACATCCTGATTATAAATATTACATTTCTTAACTTCAAAAGTGTATTTATACTTTTCACTTTTGAATCAGACAATGTGGTTACTGCAGCCATTGCCTCATTAGCCTGGGAAATTCTCTGGGGCAGAAACTGTAACTCTTCACTCTTATGGGTCTCCTCGCAGGGCCTATTTTTGAGCTCTGTATAATGTGGCTGCTAAAACAATGGTGTAGACAGACTGCTTGACTGACAGCAGTAATGGCCTTGCTCAGCCAAGGCCCATGCCCCTTCTTCCTCTGAGCATTTCAACAGTTGCATTTTCGAGGGCATTGTCTTCTTCTGAGCAGCACATCCAGTCCGCTTGACTCTTCTGCTGCACACAGTTGCTTCAGGCCACTCCACATTTGGCACCTCCCCTGGGGCTCTGGGATCCTGACTCCTCATCCCTGCACCCATGGCAGCCCCGGCCTGCTGAACTCAGACCTCTGTGCTGAGCACTCAGACATGCTTCTGAGGCTCAGAATGGAACCCCTGCCGCAACACACACACACACACACACACACACACACACACACACACACACAATGTAAATAACTGCCAATTTTATTTTAGTTTTTTCCATTAATCTCCCCTATACCATCTTCTACCTCCACCTACCTCCCTCCCTCCCACGATTACCACACAGTTGTCTGCATCCATGAGTACTTTCTCTTTTTTTTCTATTTTTGCTCAATCCCTCCACCTCCTCCAACAATGCCCCCCCCCCCCCGCAAGAGTTGTCTGCCTGCTCTCCATCTATGAGTCTGTCTCTATTTTGCTTGTTAGTTCAGTTTGTTCATTAGATTCCACATGTGAGTGAAATCACATGGTATTTGTCTTTCTCTGACCAGCTTATTTCACTTAGCATAATGCTGTCTAGGTCCATCCATGCTGTCCCAAAGGGTAAAATTTTCTTCCTTTTTATGGCTGAGTAGTATTCCATTGTGTAAATGTACTATAGCTGTTTTATCCACTGCTGCAATGAACACAGGGGTGCATATATTCTTTTGAAGTAGAGTTTCAGGTTTCTTCAGGTATATTCCCAGAAGTGGAATTACTGGGTCACAAGGCAGTTCCATTGTTAATTTTTTGAGGGTTCTCCATACTGCTTTACACAGTGACTGCACCAACCTGCATTCCCACCAACAGTGCACAAGGGTTCCCTTTTCTCTACATCCTCTACCATTAGATTTCAGGATGTCTCCACCCACTTGGCCTGTTCTTTTGTTTCCAGACTCCAGGAATAATGTTCTGGCACTGATGTTACTATTAGAAAGATTTTGGCCTTACTAATACCATAACATCAGTAGTGATTTTTATATTTAGCATTCTCCTCCCTTCCTTTTCTTCATTCACTTCCTATTATTAATTGAGTCATATCTGTTCCTCCTTCTACTAAACTGTAAATCATTTTTCATAGCAGAATGAAAAAAACTCCCCCCAAATGACACCCAAATCCCTCTTACAGAGGAAATTGTCTTGAGCAAGAAAAATATTTAGATATGCCACATGGAGTGGAAGGTAAGACCTTAAGCACACATAGTCAAGGAACAAAAACATAAACCACTGTGCATAAAAACTAAGAAGGAATTTGGGTATAAGGAGAGAGGAGAGGAGAGGAATGAAGAAGGGGAGCGGGAATGAGAGAGCCACATGGGAGCTGAAGAAAACTTGAACAGTTTACACTGCTACACTGTAAACCCTTCCTCTTCTGCCTTCTACAAAATTTGGAGAAAAGTTTACTACACACAAATACAGTATGTGTATTTGCTTCTAACTGACAGAATATAGCTGAGGTGATAGGATAGCCACACCCTTGATTAGGTTATATTATGTAAGACCCAGACTCAGCAGACCAGAGAGAGAGATTGTCATGTTGTGAAAGGGCCACATGGCAAGTAACTGCCGGTAGCCTCTAGTTGCTGAAAGTAACCCTTGGCCAACAGCTGGCAAGATAATAGGAACTTCAGTTCTACAATCACAAGAAACTGAATTCTAACAACCACATGAGCTTGGAAGAGGACCTGAGCTCCAGAAGGGAACGCCCACCAGCCCACACCTTAATTGAAGTCTGGTGAAACCTTGAACAGAAAACCCCTAAGCTGTGCCTACACTCCTGAAACCGTAAGATAACAGATGTATATTCTTTCAAGATGCAAATTTGTGGTAATTTGTTATGCAGCATAGAAAACTAATACAGGAGAGAGAGAGAGAGAGAGAGAGAGAGAGAGAGAGAGAGAGAGAGAGAGAGAGATTGATTATATACTGAGAAACAATAGTTAGGAGAGTCAGGGATTGTCCTGAGAACCTAGGATTTTGGACATTTGGAGAAATATTGGTATCTTAGCTTGGGTTCCCCTAGAGGCAGACCCTGAGACAAGAAATTAATTAGTTTATTCAAAAGGTGGTCCTAGTAAAACCAGGTATTATATTGGGGAAATAAGACATGGAAGGGAAGGAAGCCAATAAAGGCTAATTATCAGTCAAATTATATACTATCATGGACAGCCACAGCTTAATCCTTTTAGGGAATTCTGGGAGATAATGAAGAATATGCCTCAGAGTTAACCCATCCAAGAGGCCAGGGAGTTGAGACATTTAGTTACCATCTTGCTATCAGATGTAGGCGGAGGGCTGCTTCTGAGGGGCGAGGGGAGGCTAATTCCTCAGACTGCTGACTGACTTGCACATGAAGGCATCTTGTCCAGACTTTCCCTCCTCTAACTTGTGTGTGTGTGTAAGGTTACTTACTCTTCACTTTACTGTCAGGCACTTTATATCTATTTGTTCATTTAATTCTCCCAACACTCTTTTTAGGTAGAGATTCATTTCCATTTTACAAAAGTAAAACCTAAAATTTCAAGAATTTAGCCACTTGCAAAGGTCATCTCAATAATAAGTGGCAGAACTTGGATTAGAAATCCAGTTTAGCCCTGGCCAGTTTGGCTCAGCAGTTGGAACGTAGGCCTGTGGACCAGAGAGTCCCGGGTTCGGTTCCCGCTAGGGGCACTAGGGGCACATACCAAAAAAAACCCCAAAAAACCAAAGAAATCCAGTTTGATCACCAACAGAGTTTAGGCTTTTGACTGTCTCCCTAACTCCTCAGTGGGAAGTTCCTTCCTGTGTGTGTGAGTCTCAGGCCTGGTCTAATATTTGACCTCCAGCATTTACTCTTTGACTAAGCTACATGATGGAAGGTGACCTCTCTACCTCCTCCTGGTGCCCCCTCCTATTGCTGAGGTTATTTTTGATTCTTTGTTCCATAAACCTATATGTAAACGCTGCCAGAGTTGCCATAAGTTCAATTTGCCAGGATGGAGAGAGAGGGAGGATCCAGGAGGCAATGCCAGCCAGAGTGTTTGTAGAGCTGTGCCATTGCCTGGGAAACGAGGAGCATGAGGCTTTGTGCTGGGGAGGCAGGGCCTTGCTGCTTTAGCAGCCACCAAAGAGACAGATTAGCTACCTCTCTTTGGAACAAAACAAGCTTTCTGTGGGCCTGGATGAATGGCCCTCCCCAGGGGCATTTTTCCTTTCTGTCTTCTTTTTAGAGTTCTCCTAGGTAGCCCTACTCTGTCTCCCTACTGAGAACATCAAATAGAACGTGGAGATGAAATCAAAGCCCCCTGCCTTCCCATGGCCTCATCCTGAATGTTGGTTGTGCTGCCTGTAGATTTCTGTAAATGTGAGAAGTCACTCAGAGGAAGACCATTTTGCAGAGCTGGGTTGGTTGGGCGAAATATGGGATCAGGCTGGAATCAGGTCCTGGGTACACTTCTGTAAGGCAGAGAGGAGGTGCTCCCATTACCATACTGGAAAACTGAAGAACATCAAAGCCTTTTATGCTGAGGGTAAATACTTGATTTCTGAATAGAATTCCCACCTCCTCAGAAACTGAGAGGAACTCAGTTGTGTCCATGGTTGCGGAACGTGCCCTATTCAGCAGCTCTCCAGGGGAACAAAGAGGAGAAATGAATTGGCTTGAAGGGTTGGAAAGATCCAGTTTGCTGACCTATTTAAGATGTGGCAATGACATTCTAGAGGATATTTCTGGAGTTCTGTTCTTAAAGCTTCAGCACTCAAACAAAACAGACTGAAAAATCAGGGGGAAGCCACAAATCACCCCCCACTCGTGAAAGGCTTCATTGTTTTCCTTCTCCTGGATCCTCAGATGGTATCCTCCCACCAACCATGTCCAGGAAGGATTCATTCCCATCCTCCCTCTCGCCTTCCTTTCAAAGATGGAGGGGCAGAAACGGAAATCAGCTAACCTGCTGTGTGAAGAGCACCGCATGTTCCAGATTAGTAATGTTGCTGATGGAAATGGGGTCCTTCCACAAAGTAGTAAGAAAAGCATTTCTGGGGACTCATGCATGGGAAGATGAGGTGTAGTGGTAAGATTTATTGGGGTAGAAATAAAAGACTGCCTTCAGGTTCCCAGTGTCTTATCTCCATCCATCCCACTATGTAAGAGGTCCAGCTTCATCTTCATTAAACCCAGAAGAAGGGCCAGGGTCCAGAAATTCTGTGCCATTGGTTCAGTGATGCCAAAGCTTAGTCCGGTTCAATCTCTGACCCCATGCGGCTAGCTTAGTCTCTGTTCCTGGCTGAGCTCCAGCCAGTGCTGTATTGCCGTACCCAGGTTCATGCTTGGAGCCTGTGCATGGGATCGCCCTTGGGCACCTGCAGCTGCCTGGCCCACCGGGCTGCTGTGAAGGGAGAAGTGCAAACAAATGGGCAAGTGCATTAAACTTTGATTATATTATCTCTGGCTTTCAAACTGACCAATCTCTTTCTCAATCCTTTGAGGGCTTGTGCTGGGTCCTCCTCCTAACCAATCCATTTCCTAGATCTTCCGGGGTTCTGTGTCCCTTATGCAACCTGATCTTTTTCCCAGGCTAGAGACCTCCCCTTTATGGTTGCCATGTTGGCTCCTACTGCACACATCCCAAAGTTCTGCTGCTGTCATCTGGTTTCTACCGCACATATGCTTACCTCCCTCAAGTCATCTTGGCTTCTACTGGGCATGTGTTCAAGAGGGATTCCCCTCCCTTCCCAATAATTTACCCCACCCTCCCATAATCCCACTACAGGGCCAGATAAGATTAAGTCCTTTTTCAGAGGATGTGTCAGGGAAACTTTGAATGCTGTAACTTCCTAGTGAATCAGGCTTATTGCCCCATTCAGTTCCCTAGTTTATTAGGCATTCTGCCTGATTTCATTTGCTCCCTTCCTTTATTAACATAGCCCGGCTGGTGTGGCTCAGTGGTTGAACATCAACCCATGCACCAAGAGGTCACCGGTTTGATTCCCAGTCAGGGCACATGCCCAGGTTGTGGGCCAAATCCCCAGTGGGGGGCATGCAGGAAGCGGCCAATCCATGTTCTCTCTCATCGATGTTTCTATCTGTCTCTTCCTTCCTCTCTTTCTCAAATCAATAAAGAAAATAAATAAATAAATCTATAAGTATAATTGGTAAAACATTTGCATTGCTCCTTACAAACTATCTTTTCAAATAGTTTTTTATTTACTCTTCTAATAACTCTATATGTAGAATTTTTTTCCCCAAGGAAAAACACAGAGCTCAGAGAGGTTAAGTAACCTGCTCAAAGTCACACATTTTGTAAGTCTGCATACTTCAGACTCAGTCTGCGCTTCTCTGTCTAGTGTTCATACTACACTCCTGAAAGAAATTGCATTTAGTCAGGCCCAGAAGTAAAAGTCAGTATAAAAAAGGAAGGCTCTGAGACAAGAGGTGAAGCAGAGGATAAGGTGAGCAAAAGGACCATAGGAAAAAAAAAAAAGCTTAATTAGCAAGAAAAAATTGGATTCCCAGTGGTGAGTCCAGGGACAGTAAAAAGATGGATTGTCATACACAGGATTCAGCATAGGAATAAACAAGGTTTCTTTTTTTTTTTTTAGGAAGTCTTCAAGGCCTGACACACAAACGTCTAACAGCCGCTGTCTTCATTTAGATTACCAAGTGTGACGACTGGCTCGACGCTTTGTAATTGGAAGTATTCCTATCAACAGTTCAAAATTTCTCTTTCTATGAAGGCGCTATTAAATATGTGTGGCCTTACATTGTAAATTTTTTTTTTTTTTTTTTTTTTGTTATGTGCCCCTAGCGGGGACCGAACCCGAGACTCTCTGGTCCACAGGCCAATGCTCCAACCGCTGAGCCAAACCGGCCAGGGCTAAACAAGGTTTCTTAAAAGAAGGGTCCGACTAAGTTGCTGTGCGCAGAGGCCTGGAAGATAAGCCAACATTTTCACCCCTTGCTGCAGTATTTATAGGGTGGAGCTCTGTCTAGTTTACAGATCCTTGTCGGAGTTAGCCCTCCAGGAGTCTGCATCTGGTTTGCTGCCCAACAAGCCTTGAGAAATATGACCTGTCAAGATTATTTTTGATCGTAAGTGACAGAAATTTAACCTGAACGCTTTGGAGTAAAAAAGGAAGAGTTTCTTCTATCATGTAACAAAATACTGGAAGGAGCTGGAATAATTGGAAATTCGATAACTAAAAGCCACCATGGTTATCACTCATCTCCCTTGCCTTGCTCTTGGTGTCAGCTCAGCTTCATTTTCTCAAGCATTCTTACACTTTATGATGGGGACCGTGGCTGACAGTCACAGAGTCTTCCTTAGCCATTGAGCCCAGTCTGACAGCCCGAGGGCCGCGACCGTCCCGGAACAGTATCCAGCGGCCCCGCGAACCCGCTCCTTTCCGCCCGGCTCCTGGCGCCTCCACACGTCCCGCCCCTCAGCGGAAGTGACGCACCCGGAGCCCGAACCCCGCCCTCACGCCTTACCAGCCCCCGGGAGGTGACGGGCCGAGAGGGGCGGATTCAGGGATGCGAGGGGCGGGGCCGGCCACCGGAAATGGCGGTTTGCTGGAGGCGGTTACTTCAGTACCCTGAGTAGTTTGAGTCTGGCGAGTTGTTCGGTTGCTGTCTCAGCAGGAGTGGGGCCCCGAGGCCTTAGGAACAGGCTTTTATCTGTCCCGGGACCCCCTCGTCCCTCGTGCAGCGTCTCCCCCATAACCGGATACGGATTGTTCGGACTCTGCCTCAGACCCAGGTTCTCAGCCCCGCCCTCCCGGCCGCCTGGCTCGGGCTGCTCGGGACAGTGCCCCCGGCCCCACCTCGCGGGCCTCCGCTGGGCACAGCCCTCGTTCTCGGCCAGGTCCTCTCGTCTCTCCCTCCTGCCCCCATTTCTGCCGGCAGGCAATCTTCAATTCTTGTTTTTCCCTTACTTCTTCCCACTCCCCTTCTTCCCTTCTTCAGGAATTCCCCACTTTCCTGCAGGCTACTGCCTTCTCCGAGGCTCCCCCCGTTCGGAGGACGGGCCCAGGCGTTAGGACGCGGAGCTTCGGCGCGGGCGTCCGAAGGTGTTAAGCTTTTCCTTTCTCCCGCCCAGGAGTCACAGATGCCAGCAAGTATGGCCCCCCTCAAGAAGCGTCGAAACACCGCGAGGTTGCCCCTGGCCTTAAACCCCCTGAAGAGCAAGGACGTGCTGGCCGTGCTGGCCGAGAGGAACCAGGCCGTAGTACCAGTTGGGGCGTGGGTGGAGCCGGCCTCGGCGCTTAGTCCCGAAATCCCAGCATCTGTGAGTGTCAGGGCCCCACGCGGCGGGCTCCAGCCCCTCTGCAGCAGCCCCCCGGGGCTGGGCCGAGAGGAGCAGTCTGGAGACGCTGTTTGTGTTCTCGTGGACAGACATGTTCTTGCGTTAGGAGTCTAGGCGAACCTGTGTGTATCTGCCGAAACTTACACATATGTATGTATGTATTTCCGTTCACTTCGCAAACTCCTGATTGCTCGTCATGCACAGGCCACGGGCTCTGTCTTTACCTCCCAGACGACCCCAGCTGGCCGCATGTCGGGGAACATGGCTGGCTGGCTGGCTTCAAGTTGTGGATGAGTTTGGTGATGGAGATTCAGGCAACATGCAGTGATAGAACAGAGGCGGAAGGGGTACATTCTGCCTGGGATTCGGAGAAAGCCTAACCATAAATTCCGCGAGGACAGAGACCTTTCTGTTCCGTTTATTCCCGTCCTGGTTTATAGTAGGTCTTCAGGGAATGTTTGTTGAATGAATGAATGAATGAATGAATGAGGAAATACAGTTTGCGTTGGTCCTTAACGAATGGATGTGCCGTAAGTACAAGAGCGCAGGGAGGAAGGAGCATTTCAGATGAAGGCAAACTTTTGCAAAGTTTGCATGCGTGCCTGTTTACAAGATAACGTACACACTAATTAACACGTGAGGACAGTTTTGTCAGAATATTTTTATAGTCTTTCACCAAACTCTCTCACTTAGCTATTTGTTCGAATTTTATTGTGACACATTTCCTTCATGGTAAATTGCGTACATACCTACTTTTCCTGATGGAGTGTGAGCTCCTAGATCACAGGGGGAGAAATTTTATTTATCACATTTCCACCTTTATCTTAGTTTCTAATAAATATGGGCATTCGGGCCCTGGCCAGTTTTGCTCAGCGGTTAGAGCGTCAGCCTGTGGTCCAGAGAGACCCAGGGTCAATTCCCGCTAAGGGCACGTACCTCAGTTGCAGTTTGTCCCCGGCCCTGGTTGGGTCGTGCAGGTGGAAGGCAGCCACTCGATGTGTCCCTTTCACGTCGATGTTTCTCTCTTTCTCTCTCTCTTCCTCCCACTATATCTGAACAAAAAATGGAAAAATGTCCTCGGGTGAGGTTAAAAAAAAAAAAATACTGTACTAAATTTACATTAATCAGAGATACCATAGCACGCAGAGCTTATAGGAAGAAAGGCTTGTGGAAGATACTAGGAGGTGGGTATTAGATGGTCTTCAAGATTGATTAGGCCTTTGCTAAGTAGAGATTACAGGGAAGGCATGCTGGGTTAAAAATGGAGCATAATTCTGAATATGAAGGCATTTTATTTAATTTTATTTTTTTTATCCTCACCCGAGGACATTTTTCCATTCTTTATTCAGACAGAGCAGGAGGGAGAGAGAGGAAGAGAGAGAGAGAGAGAAACATCTATGTGAAAGGGACACATCGAGTGGTTGCCACCCGCACAACCTAACAGGGGCCGGGGACAAACTGCAACCAAGGTACGCGCCCTTAGCAGGAACCAAACCTGGGTCTCTCTGGACCACAGGCCAACGCTCTAACCGCTGAGCCAAACCAGCCAGGGCATGAAGGCATTTTAGAATAAGATATTTGGTGAGTGGTGAGCAATCTGGTGTATCTGGACTGTTTTACACATTTTAGAAAATGTGTAACATAAGATAGATCTGAATTGGTTCATTAAGCATTAATGAATATACTGTTTGTTCCCAGTTCAAAGATTTGAGTACTCCAAATTCCAGTTTTTAGTCTGTGATTTGCTTTTATCTCGGTACTCACTCGTTATGTCTAGATTTCCATCTCTGAACTCCTGTGGTTTCCTTACTCTACTGGGAATTTTGGATTATAGAACTGAGTTATTTTTTCAGGATTGTTTCCTGACTGCTTTGTGTTTATAACAAAGCCCTAATGGGAAAAATTGTTGACATTTAAGTTCATTTTCTATCTTTCATCTTTAAAGACTTCAGCATATATGATTGAAGAAGAACTAAAGGAACAGCTAAGAAAAAAACAAGAAGCCTTGAAGCGTTTTCAGAGACAAGTCAAACACCGAGTAAATCAACAAATTAGGCTGAGAAAAAAGCAACAGCTTCAGAAATCCTATGAAGCAGTAAGTTCAAAGTGAGCCCTAAGTGGATATAAAGTGTATGTGTTATGAGAGAAGCTATTAGGTAGTAACAGATCACTTTCTTTCTTTTTTTTTTTTGCATTTATCTTGAGCAGGAGGGAGAGAGAGAGAAACATCGATGTGATATGAGAGAGACACATTGAGTGGTCGCCACCCACACGACCCCAACCAGGGCCTGGGACAAACCGCAACTGAGGTACATGCCCTCAGCGGGAACCGAACCTGGGCCTCTCCAGGCCTCTCTGGTTCACGGGCCCACTGCTGAGCCAAACCGACCAGGGCCAGATCACTTTCTTTTGATTCTATGCTTTGTATTATCTGTTTTGCTGGTAAGAGTGGTAGACTTGTATGTAGAGAAACTGTATTTTATTCCTGTTTGTTCTGACTCATTTTTTTGTTTTCACTAGTTAAAAACAATGTCAGTTTTGGATTCAGAATTGGGTTTGAATTTAGGCTTATGCTATTTTTAAAAATTAAATTTATTGATGTAGCATTGGTTAATAAAATATCAATTTCAGGTGTACAACATAACTCATTATCTTTTCCATGCTCACCACCCAAAGTCCTCTTTCCTTCCGTTACCATATATTTGATCCTCTCTACCCATTTTGCTCTTTCTCTCTGGTAACCACCATTCTGTTGTCTGTTATTGATGAGTTTGTTTTTGTTTGTTAGTTTGTTACTTTTTTGTTTGATATTCCACATATGAATGAAATCATAGAATTTTTGTCCTTTTCTGTCTGACCTATTTCACCTAGCATAATACCCTCAAGATCCATCCATGTTGCTGCAATGGCAATTTTTTTTTAATGGCTGAGAAGTAGTAAATATTTCATATCTCTATTCATTCATCCATTGATGGACACTTAGGTTGTTTCTGTGTCTTGGATATTGTAAATAATGCTGTAGTAAACATAGGGGTACATATTTGTTATGAATTAGTGCTTTTATGTTTTTCAGGTAAATACCCAGAAGAGGAATTTCTGGGTCATATGGTAGTTCTAGTCTTAATTTTTTTTTTTTAATTCTTTCTTTTTTTTTTTAATTGATTTTTAGAGATAGGGAAAGGGAGAGGGGGAGAGAGATAGAAACATCGATGAGAGAATATTGATTGGCCCTGGCCAGTTTGGCTCAGCGGTTAGAGCGTCGGCCTGCGGTCCTGAGAATATCGATTGGCTGCCTTCTCCGTGCCCCCCACTGGGGATCTGGCCCACAACCTGGGCATGTGCCCTGACTGGGAATCAAACCAGCGACCTCTTGGTGCATGGGTTGACGTTCAACCACTGAGCCACACCAGCCGGGCTATTCTTAATTTTTAAAGGAACCCCATACTGTTTTCCATAGTGGCTGTACCAATTTACATTCCCACCAACAATGTACAAAGGTTCCCTTTTCTCAATATCCTCTCCAACACTTGTTATTTCTTGTCTTTGATAATAGCCGTTCTAATAGGTATGAGATGGTAACACATTGTGGTTTTGATTTGCATTTCTCTAATAACTAGTGATGTTGAACATCTTTTCATGTCTGTTGGCCATCTGTAGTCTTCCTTGGAAAAATGTCTGTTCAGATCCTCTGCCCATTTTTTAATCTAATTTTTTGTTGTTGAGTTGTATGAATTCTTTATATGTTTTGGATATTAACCCTTAGTGGATGTGTCATTTGTGAATTTCTTCTCCCATTTGGTTTGTTGTCTTTTTGTTTTGCTGATGGTTTCTTTTGCTGTGCAGAAGTTGTTAAGTTTGATGTAGTCCCAGTTTATTTCTGCTTTTGTTTTCCTTGCCTTTGGAGTCAAATTCACAAAAAAATCTTTAAGATCAATGTCTAGAAGCTTAGTTTTTTCCTATGTATTTTATTGTTTTGGGTCTTAAATTCAAGTTTTTATTCAATTTTAAGTTAATTTTTGTATATGATGTAAGATAGTGGTCTAGTTTCACTCTTTAGCCTATAGCTGCCCAGTTTTCCCAACACCATTTATTGAATAGACTTTCCTTTCTCCATTGTATAATCTTGACTCCTTTGTTGTAAATTAGTTGTCCATATATATGTAGGTTTATTTCTGTGCTCTCAATTCTGTTCCATTGGTCTGTGTACCTGTTTTTCTGCCAATACCATATCATTTTGGTTACTATAGCTTTGTAGTATAGTTTGAAGTTGAGGAGTGTGATACCTCCAGCTTTGTTATTTTTTTCCTGAGGATTGCTTTGGCTATTCACGGTCTTTTGTGGTTCCATACAAATAATCAGAAATTTTTGTTCTAATTCTGTGAAAAATGCCATTGGGATTTTTAAAAAATCCTCATCTAAGGATATTTTTTCATTGATTTTTATTTTTATTTTTATTTTATTTTTTAGATAGAATGGAGGGGCAAGAGAGAGAGAGAGAGAGATTGATGTGAGAGAGACATGTCAATTGGTTGCCTCCTGCACAACCCTTACCAGTGCTGGGGATTGAACCTGCAACCCAGGTACGTGTCCTTGACTGGGAATCTAACCCATGACTCTTTGGTCCACAGGCTGATGCTCTAACAGCTAAGCCAAACTGGCTAGGCGCCAATGGGATTTTGAGAAGTATTACATTCTGTATGTAGGTTGCTTTAGGTAATATGGACATTTTAACAATGTTAATTCTTCCAATCCATGAACATGGAATTTTTTCCATTTCTTTGTCTTCTTCAATTTCTTTCAATAGTGGGTTATTGTTTTCAGTGTACAGGTCCTCCACCTTCTTTGTTAAGTTTATTTCTAGGTATTTCATACTTTTCTGTTGTGGTTGTAAATGAATTGCTTTCTTTATTTCTCTTATATTTTGTTGTTAGCATGTAGAAATGCAACAGATTTTTGTATCCTGCAACTTTACTATATTTGTTTATTCTAGTAATTTGTTGGTGGTCTTTAGGATTTTCTATATATGAAATAATGTCATCGCAAATAGTGACAGTTTTTCTTCTTTCCTTCCAATTTGGATGCCTTTTATTATATATTATTATATATGTTATATTATAGCTCTGGCTAGGACTTCTGTACTATGTTGAATGATAGCTAAGAGTGGGTATCTTGTCTTGTTTCTAATCTTACAGGAAGAACTTTCAGCTTTTCATCATGGAGTATGATTTTAGCTGTGGGTTTGTCATATTGGTCTTTATTATGTTGAGGTACTTTCCTCCTCTACTCATTTTTCTTTTTGTTTTTATTTTATTTTATCATAAATGTATGTTAAACTGGTCAAATGCTTTTTCTGCATCTCTTGAGATAATGATATGATTTTTATCCTTCATTTTGTTAATGTGATCATTGATTGATCTGCAGCTGTTGAACTATCCTTGCATCCTTGGACTGAATCCCAGTTGATCATGGTATATGATCCTTTTAATGTATTGTATTTGACTTGTTAGTATTTGGTTGAGGAATTTTTTTACCTCCCTTTTTATGTTGTGTGTTCATTACCAAATTGTAGTAGTTAAGTTATTTTTAATGCTTTTTTCCCCTTTAACCTTTATACTATAATTAATCCTCTAATGCATTCATCTGATTTAATAAGTTCTTCAGCTCCAGAATTTGTTTAGTTCTTTTTTATAGTTTCAGTTCCTTTGGTAAAAGTACTCCTTTTGTTCATTAATTTTATCCCCAGGCTCATTGAATTGCATTCTGAATTTTCTTATATCTCATTGAGTTTTTTAAAATAACTGCAATCTTGAATTCTCTGTCATTTAAATCAGTCTTTTGTGTCTTTGAGTTTATTTTCTGGAAACTTTTCATTTTCTTTCTGAACTATCTTGTTACCTTGGTTATTTATGGTACTTGATGGGTTTTCCCTCTCTCTTTGCATTTAAGATAGTGGACACTTTTTGTTTAGATAATATTTTGATTTTAACAATTCAGCAGGTTGATAATTAGAGGTCTTTTGTTTTCCAGTAGATGGTGCTATAGAGAAACTTTTTCTTTTACCTGTGCTACTTGTGCCTATGGGGTCCTGGTAGGGGGCGTGTCACTTTTGGTGTGAAAAGTGACTCCTGGGTGACCGGGATGGTGTGTGTGTGCCTGCTGTGTTCGTGATGCTGACCTGAGTTAAGCTATTTTACTAGCAATGTGACCTTGGGCTAATGACTTCACTTCTCTGGACTGTAGTTTCTTCACTTACAAAGTGGGGATATGATATGTACTTGTTTCATAAGACTGTTGTGAGAATTAGATGAGATAATGTAAATTATTAGCACATAGTAAGTGCCTGATAAATGTTAGGTTTTTTGGCCAGCTAAAGCTTTCTGCTACCTACCCCTGACACCAATTTTAAATCTTTTGGGCTGGTTATAGGCATTTGATTGCACTGGATTTGAGTGGAATCTCACTAGAATCATGTCACTTTTTCTTTCTTTGTGTAGGCAGAAAAAGAAGGCACTATAGCCATGAAGTCTTCAGATCCAGCACACTTAACTCCTAAAATAACAAGTGTTTTTCAAAACAATTTGAATGCTGCTATTGGAAGTGCTACATTACCTCCTTCCCAAATGCTTGGGGATGGAATAGAAGATAGAGAGAATCAGAATCAATTATTCCAACAAGCCCAGGCTGTAAGTATATATTTATTTTATTTTATATCTATGAATTTTTTTAGATGTATGACATCTCTAGAATATGAAGTAGAGATTAAGAGGTATCACATTCAACTTCACTTTTTCTCACTTCCTTTTTTTATCTTTGTAAAGTGGGAAATAGTGGGATAATGTTTATTTTTATGTATTTAAAAAAATGTATCTTTATTTTTGGTAAGATACTTTAGAATTATCTAATGTAAGGTGCCAAAGTGGTAAAATTCAACACTTGTTAGAAAGAGCCCTGGCCAGGTTAAGTCAGTTGGTTAGAGCGTCGTCCCAATACGCCAAGGTTGTAGGTTCGATCCCCAGAATAGCACATACAAGAATCAACCAATGAATGCATAAATAAGTGGAACAACAAATGAATCCCCCCCCCATCTGTTCTTTCCTCTCTCTCTCTCTAAAATCAATAAATAAAAATTGCAAAAACTTATTAGAATCAGCTTTGGCTAAAAGAACATAGATTTTCCCAATTACAGTTGAATTGTGTTATGGGTAAGTTATTCTCAGTTTGTAGCATATGGACAGAAGTGATTACTAACCTCTGCAAAAAGGTTTAATACATATATAGGGCATTTTGCCTGTTAATTTTTTCTGAACTTCAATTGGATTATCACAGTAAATAGGTCTAGGAGTCAAATAATAATATAGGAAAATCTCAATGAGCACATTCAGAGTATTTTTTAACTGTAACTTTTACTTAGTCGTTCATTTTATAGACCTGATATTTAAAAATTAACCACCACGAGTAGATTCATCCACTCGAATCACTTGATGGCTATCGAATCAACTCTACTGCTTGAGCTTTCGTACAATTGATATCATAGTTTTCAGGTCTGCTATGGGAAATTATTGTTCACCTTATCACTTAAAAATTGTATTCCTGACTTCCGGTCAAGATGGCAGCGTAGGTAAACGCGGTATCGCGTCCGCCCACAACCACATCAAAGTTACAACTAAACTACAGAACAACCATCATTCAAAACCGCCTGAAATCAAGCTGAATGGAAGTCGTACAACTACGGAATTAAAAAAAAAAAAAAAAAAAAGCAGCTACATCCAGACTGGTAGGAGTGGCGGTGGCGCGCGGCAGCAAGATGGGCTGGTCCCACACCCAAGCGTGGTGGATAAAAATCAGGAGGCTCCTGCGGCTGGGAAGGTCCTTCCTGAGGACTGAGGGGTCCCCGTCCCACACCGGGTGCCCCGTTCAGGGTTCCAGTGCCAGGAAGAGAAGTCCCCATAACTTCTGGCTGGAAAAACCAGCGGAAACTGAGGCTCAGGGAAGCTGAAGCGGCTGGAGCCCCAGGCAGCTCCCTAAAGGGCCCGCGCACGGACTTATCGGACTCTCTCCCTCTAAGCTCAGAGGGGAGGCAGCTCGAGGGGCGCCAGAGACATACAGGGAAGAACTGAGCTGTTTGGCACTGGAGCGAGGGCTGGAGAGGGTGCTTCCTCTGGGACAAACGTGCTTTAAGAGGCCTTTGTTCCTTTGGTGAGCCCTTCCCCAGGGCGGCAGACAGAAGCCATATCTGGGACTCCAGCAACCTGGCTCACACTGGTAGCCCTGCCCTGCTGACTCCCTGAGGCCCCGCCCCACCCCACACAACTTTCAAGCCCACCCAAGCTGTTGCCAGTTGCTTAACCATAGGATTGGCCTGTCTTGGATCCTGCTTCAGGTTTTTCCTAAATTCTTTCAAACGAGCAGCACCGGGTCTCAGCGAGCCCCATACCTCTCATTAAGTAATATACAGAAACAAACACAGGGAGGCAGCCAAAATGAGGATACAAAGAAACAGGTCCCAAATGAAAGAACAGAACAAAACCCCAATAAAAGAACTAAGCGAAAGGGAGATAAGCAACCTAACAGATACTGAGTTCAAAATACTGCTTATAAGGATGCTTAGTGAACTGAGTGAGAACCTCAGTGAACTTAGGGAGGGCCTCAAGAGCATAAAAAAGGGCCAGTTAGAAATCATGGATACACAGTTAGAATTAAAGGAGGCATTAACTGAAATAAAGAATAATTTACACAGTTTCAATAATAGAGTATGTAAATCCAAGGAACAAACCATCGATTTGGAATATAAGAACGCAAAAAATCCCCAATCAGAACAGCAAAAAGAAAAAAGAATCCAAAAAAATGATAGTGTAAGGAGCCTCTGGGACTTCAAGCATGCCAACATTCGCATCTTGGGGGTGCCCAAAGGAGAAGAGAGAGAACAATAAATCGAAAACCTGTTTGAAACAATAATGGCAGAAAACTTTCCTAACTTGGTGAAGGAAACAGACATACAAGTCCAGGAAGCACAGAGAGTCCCAAACAAGATGAACCCCAAGAGGCACACACCAAGACACATCATCATCAAAATGCAAAAGGTTCAAGACAAAGAGAGAATATTAAAAGCAGCAAGAGAAAGGCAGCTAGTTACCTACGAGGGAGTTCCCATTAGGCTGTCAGCTGATTTCTCAAAAGAAACTTTGCAGGCCAGAAGGGAGTGGCAAGAAATATTCAGAGTGATGAAAACCAAGAACCTACAACCAAAATTACTCTATCCTGCAAAGCTGTCATTTAGAATCGATGGACATATAAAAACTTTCCCAGACAAGAAAAAGTTAAAGGAGTTCATCACTACCAAACCGTTATTATATGAAATGATGAAGGGTCTTTTTGAAGAAAAAGATAAAATGTATGAACAAACAAAATGGCAATGAATACATATCTATCAACAATGGAATCTACAAACAAAATGAACAGGAAGAACAGAAACATTCTCATAAATACAGAGAACATTTTGTTGGTTGCCAGTTGGGAAGGGGGTTGGGGGAATGGGTGAAAAAGGTGAAGGGATTAAGAAGCACAAATTCATTGCTAGACTGACAAACCTCAAAGGGAAAGGGGTTGGGGGGGGTGGGAAGAAATAAACCAAAGAACTTATATGCATAACCAATGGACACAGACAATATTGTGGGAAAAGGTGGGAGGGGGGCAGGAGTGGGGAGGAGGGGGTCAATGGGGGAAAAATGTGGAACATCTGTAATACATTTTACATCCAACAATAAAGATTTGAAAAAAAAAATTGTATTCCTAGGGATAGTGAGAGGAGATAAAAATGTGGAAGATAATGATTATATAAAAATAAAAGTTGTGTAACCGCTAACTTGCTTGGTCATAGTAGGAAGCAAATCCAATTGTGTCATTAGTATAAATAGGGAAAGCTTTACAAGCACATGTTATGTTGAAATACTTAAAAATATATTTTTTTTGTCCCAAATTACAACTTTTTCTTGTCTTTGTTTGAGTGATAGTCATCATTTTTGTTTTCTAAGATTATGAATAATTTGTTGAGCAAATATTTATTGAGCCAGGCACTGCATAAAGTAAAAGGGATAGAACATTGACTAAGATGGACATAGTCCTTGCTTTTATGGACTTTGTAGCTATAAATCCCACTGTAGTAAGGATTTTACTTCATCTGTATAATGCATAAGTAGATCAGTCCACCAGATATACTGTTTGTTAAACATTGTAGGAATACTAATAAAATATGAAATAGGATCCTTTGTGGGTTTATATTTATAAGTAGAGATACAAAACTACTAGACCATCTAATTTACTAGATATTAATATAGAAATATTTACAGTATTTTCTGATAAAGTTGTATTGTGGAAGTTCAAAAAAATTTAAATTCCAAGGGAATAGCTAGGAAAGAATTCTTTGAAGAGGTGGAATTTAGCTATACATTTTGAATTGTTAAGCTTAATTGAACTGGTAAATTCAAGAGAATTTTGAGATAGAAGGGACAGCTAAAAGTCTAGAATATGTAATGAGCTTGATATATTTTGGAATAAGTGATAGAACCTTTCTAATGATAGTACATAGAGGAGAAAATGAAAGTGTGGTTAGAGAGAAACCAGGTTATGAGAAGCCTTAAATGTTACAAAATTTAAAAGGGTTTTTATGCTTTTTTTTCCTTAAAAGATGAACTACTGAATGTTCAGTGACTTAAACTACTTTAAGCTTATTAACTTTTGCCCACACAATACCATGATAATAGATGCTTTTTAATTTTATCATTTCTGTTGCATTTTTTATCCACTAGATGTCACTAAACACTAGACAATGAGACTTCAAGCACTGCTGCCTTTGATTTATCTAGAACTGGTTAAGTAAATGTGAATGTAATTTACTTTCTGAATGTTAGTGTACTTTTCAATTTTCTTGTGTCTTAGAAGGATAGAAACAGAATCTTGGAGTTGGAAGAATTTTAAAAGTTCACCAGACATATTGAAATATTTAAGGTTGAAATGGTTTGACATCTGGGGTATATTTCAAAATAATGTAAGGGTGAGGTGAAGTAGGGGGTTATAAATAAAGCAAGATTGGCCAGGAGTTGATATGTTCAAGCTGGTTGATGTGTGGGTATGGGTTGGCTGGTTATAGCATTCTGTCTGCTTCTATATGTGTGTGACGTTTCCAATATGTTTTAATTTATTTACATTTTAAATTAAGTGTTAAAAAAGATATTATCTAGTCTAACTTTTCTCTCTCTAAGGAATTTTTTTTATAATGTCTCAAATATATATATATATATATATATATATATATATATATATGGCTATCTAGTTTCTATGAGAACACTATCACGGTTGATCAAATCACTTTTTAGACTTATGCTTAATTTTTAGAAGATTTGGAATAATTATAAGTGTTTTTTCAATATATTGAGTGAAAATCTTTCTCCCTATAATTTTTACTCTTTGGGCCTAGCTTAGTACTCCCAAGTAATAGAGTATAAAATACCGCCCTGGCCAGTTTGGCTCAGTGGTTGGAGCATCAGCCTGTGGACCAGAGAGTCCTGAGTTTGGTTCCCACTAGGGGCACGTACCCCCCCCCCCCAAATAAATAAATAAATAAATAAATAAAATACCATGGTGATCTTTAAAAACATGTTAAGTATTTGATTATACCTATCATTTT